GTATTCCTTCATCTTTTCGAAATACCTGAGTATTTCTTCTATACCATACATACCAAGCAACTGCCAGGAAAATACAAGAGCCCATCTCCTTTCCTACTATTCTGCCCAACTCATTTATGAAAAGATCTGCCACTCCCATAACTGTATTGGGCAAAACACTTTCCAAACCCCACCATTTCAACACCTCTACCCACACTATCCACGCTTTATAACATTTACAAAATAAGTGATTAGCCTCCTCCACTATCCCACTACAAAATTCACAGTAACTACCTTCCTCCTGCAATTACACCCCACATTTTTGAAGATTTTCCTTAGTTGGAAGCCTATTGAAGCACAATCGCCACCCAAAAAAGGCAACTTTGGATGGCACCAACCTGCACCATATTAATTTACACATCTGGTCCTCCAGTTCACCTACCATATAATCTAAATATTTGTAGGCTATCTTGACAACATATCTGCCATCCATCACAAGCCTCCACTTCCAAACATCCCCAACTCCCTCCTTCACTTGAACACCCTCCAGCACCTTCTCCATCACCACCTCCTCATCCTTCTCACGCCCTATAGTACCTCTCCTCCACTCAACACGCCAACACCATCCATCCTCATTCCAGCTTCCCATTTCAGAAACCTTTCCTTCCTTCTTAACCGATACTGCATATAATCTTGGACATAAGTCCCTAAGAGTTTTATCCCCAACCCACCGCTCATGCCAAAAATCCACCTTATTTCCCTCGCCCACTTCCCACTTGAATCCCTCCACCAGCATATTCCTTATTCTCGGAGATTGACCCCCCATTCTAATAATATCCCTCCACAGCTTTGACACCCTCGAACCCTCAACCGCTGTAATATCAACCTCACTTCGACCTCCATAATATTTTTCCCTCACCACCCTTTTCCATAAGTTCTCAACCCCATCCCCTAACCTATACCACCACTTCCCTAACAATGCCCAATTTTTCCTAAGCAAATCTAGTACCCCTAAACCCCCCTTCACCTTATCACGACAAACATATTCCCATTTCACCCATAAAATCTTTTTATTTAAATCTGGTCCACCCCATATAAATCTCCTTTGAATACTAATCAACTCCGCACGAACAAACTTTGGTAATAAAAGCAGAGACATATAAAAGATGGGTAACGCAGATAGTACCAATTTCAGCAGGGTGAGACGGCCTCCAAAGGAAAGAGTAGTAGCCTTCCAGACAGCAAGCTTTGCACGAAATTTATTCACCATCGGCTCCCACATCTTCTTACTTCCAGATTTACTGCCAATAGGCAATCCCAAGTAAAGAAAGGGTGCTCGACCAACTCCACATCGTAACATACCCGCTGATCCCTTTAACCATCCCTCCGACACATTATAGCCATAGATACTGCTCTTGTTAAAATTTATCCGCAAACCAGACATAAGTTCAAACCATCTTAACACACCCTTCACCATTCTAATATTCTCAGCATCCACTCTGCCCATAATTATTGTATCATCGGCGAACTGAAGTAAAGACACGGTCATCCCTTTCTTTCCAATCTCGATCCCATGTAGCATTCCTTCCGCCACTGCTTTCTATACCAAGCCTTGTAACCCCTCACCGATCATCAGAAAAAGAAAAGGCAATAAAGGATCCCCTTGACGTAATCCTTTACCTACCTCAATTTCCTTTGTCGGGCTTCCATTTACCAAGATCAAAGTTCTCGCCGTTGAAAGGCACTCCATAATCTATCCTCTCCACTTTGTTCCAAATCCGAAACTATCCATCATCCAATCTAAAAAGAACCAATCCACGCAGTCATATGCCTTTTCAAAATCTGCCTTAAAGACAAAAGCTGGCTGTTTCCTGTTCTTTATCTCATCTACTACTTCATTCAGCACCAATACACTATCAACTAATTGGCGGCCCCCCACAAAAGCAGATTGAGTTTCACTCACTATTTCTGACATCACCGATTTCAATCTATTAGCCAATACCTTCGCTAATAATTTATAAATACATCCAATCAAGCTAATGGGTCTAAACTCCTTTAAATTCACAACATTCAATTTTTTAGGGACCAAAGCTATAAAAGAAGAATTTAGACCCCTCACCAATTTACCATTCTGATGAAACTCCAAGAAAAAACTAATGAAATCCTCCTTAATGCAATGCCACGTAAATTTAAGAAAATTGAAGTTGTACCCATCCAATCCCGGTGCCTTTGAACCGTCACAGCTCCTTAAACCTTCCTCAATTTCTTCAACCGAAAAAGGTCTTTCTAGCCATTCTTTTTTCTCCTCTGAAATCTTTTGAAATTTAATACCCTCGGGCTTGGGTCTATTCCATGGGTCACCTTGGAACAAACTTCTGAAATATTTGACAACTTCATTTTTGACTGCTTCTAGATCTTCAATCCACACCCCATCACACATTAAACCTGCAATATTATTTTGAGCCCTTCTCCCGTTAGCTACCTTATGGAAGAAACGGGTATTCGCGTCGCCCTCACGTATCCATCTGCTCCTTGACTTCTGCCTCCAAATTAGTTCCCTTTTTCTCAAAACATCCCACATCTCAAAGAAGCCTTCTTGCCTTTTAACAATTTCAAGTTCTTCCAGGTCAGCTACCTCATTCTGCATATCAACCTGCTCTATTTTTTTAACAACCTGTACATACTGGGCTTCCATGTTTCCAAAAACTTCCTTGTTCCATCCTTTTAAGAACTCTTTTAACAATTTTAACTTTTGTTTGCATTTATATCCTACAAACCCCTCCACTGCCATCTCTCTCCACTTATCTTCTACAGCCTTCTTGAATCCTGGATGTTGTTGCCATGAATCCAAGACTCTAAAAGGCCTTGGACCCCAATTTGTTGATTTGGACTTCAAAACCATTGCACAATGATAAAAAATGTTTCTTGGCAGCCCCCACTGTATCCATTCTCCTCCCATATTATTCATCTGAGTACTCAACAAGAATCTGTCCAGTCTGCTCATTGCTGTTCCATCTGGCTTATACCATGTATAGCGTCTATTCATCAATTTAACATCCACCAGTCCTGTTGACACAATGAACTCCTCAAAATCCCTCATATCAAAACTCACCCCTGTTTTCCCTCGCCTCTCCTCAGGACCTCTGACAACATTAAAATCCCCTACGATCAACCACCACCCTTCCTTGTCAATCATCCTCTTCCTCAGCTCCTCCCACAACTTAGCCCTCTTCTGTCTATCATTTGGGCCGTACACATTTATTAGGCTGCACTGTTGTTTATTTTCTCCCCATTCCCTTGATACTCCCACATACCCATCACCTGTAAACTCTTCCCGTTTAACAAAATATCGTCTGTCCCATAGACATAGCAGACCCCCTGATGCTCCAGATGAAGCCTTCGCAACCCATTCAAACTCATCAGAGTTCCATAAAATTTTACACATACCCACATCAATCCTCTCTAACTTTGTTTCCTGCAAGAATAGAAAGTCCGGCCTTTCCTCTCTAACCAGCTTTCCCACTTCCTTCCTCTTCACCATCCCACCCAAACCCCTCACATTAAAGGAAATAATCTTCATTTAAACAATAATAGACGCACAACTTCACACCTCACACCCACTCCTATACCCCCAACCCTTCTCTCCTCCCTACCCTTTCTCGATCCTCTGCCTCTATCAACCTAGATTGTAATTCCTCATCATTTTCTTCAAATTGGATGCCCAACCTCTTTCCCACCCTCATCATCCAGCGCACCTCATACCAATTCATCTCCCTTTGAATCACCCTATTTCTATTTACAATAGCCCCATCCGAAATAGACATACTACCCTCTATGCGTACCTTGTCTTCCTTTGCTTTTCGATCACCCACCCTTCGAGTCTGTCATTGTCTTGTTCTAGGTGTTACCAGCGGAGTCCCTTTCGCCCAGATCTCCTCCATGCTCTCTATGTAGCAATCTTGGAAAAGTCATTGCTTTTTGCTCATTGATGCTCTGTTTTCTGATTTCTGCATTTTTGATGCAGCTTCCAGGTTTTGGGTGCTTAATCTAGGCCTTTCTATGTTCAATTCTTTTGACTGTCCATGATTGTTGCTTTTATCCGGCCCACTCCTTTTTCCTGGCCCAACATAACTCACCCTATGAAGCCCATGTTCCTTAGCCCACCCCTGTCTTTCGTCCCCTTCAAACTCCCTCTCTGTTTCACTTTCATTCCGGCTTTCCATACCCGTTGCAATCTTCAAATTCGAATTCAAATCCATATCTTTCATTAAATGCACTGAATCAGAACTCACATCATCGCCGTCACCAATCACGTCCACACCCATTTCCAAGTCTTCGTTCTGACTCCACGCAACCGAGGAGTCATCGGACTCCGTTTTCTGATCATTATTCCAATCATTCTCCGTCAACCACCAGTCCAGATCCGACCGCCACTCCTCCTCTGCTATCTCTATTTCATACTGCTGATCACCTACCTTCAATATGATTCTTGTTGCAATTCTCCTAGACTCTGTGCATAAAATCAATACTCTCCCATCCCATAATATTGATTTATTCTTTGTGTCCTCATGGATCATTAGAACTTCCCCTACTGTCTCACCTATCCTCTGAAAACACCTCTCACCCCATGCCTTTAATGGCACTCTCGATATACGCAGCCAAGCCATTCGACTCGTCTCCTCCGGTGCCGACTCCCATGATTTTATAGATTCAAACCACACATCAAATAATTCTACATTAATCTTCATATACTCAGACAAATATCCTACGACTCTTTCAGTTAATAGCACCCGTCTTCCTCCTATTGGTGTTAACGATATTGAGCCTCCGTCTACGTCAATT